AGTAACACTGAGATACCAATTCAAGTACAATAAACCAATTTTGTACTTATTCGTAATCCCCCAGATTTGCATGTAATAAAATGAAACACTGTGATATATAGGGTGCCACGTATTTTTGATATAACGAAATAACGTTAATATGACGTTGTTCACGCAATATATACAAATCGTTCCATACGTACTGGGTTTCCTTTTTCCAATCACTTTTTTAGCGCATTTTGAAGAATTAAAAAAAATGTGGTATTGTTTGCGTTTTGTCCGTCCGGTCGCCCGGACCCACTTTTGCCGTTTTGAACTACTTCTGGGGGAATGGCCCTAGAGTCCCCCCCCCCCCCCCCCCCCATCAATTATTCCCTCAGATTCTGTAAGTAAAACGTGCATAGCTTTTACGTACGACAACCAATTGGTCTCACATTTTGCATAGGCATGCTTTCAGTGGTGCCAAGTAAAACTGTTGAACTATTGAAAATGGGGTTCATGGTATTCTAATGAAAGGCCTCATCGAAATTAATTGGTTAGTACAAACTATAAGTTTCTCGTGCGATTTTTGTCGAGTAGAGGAAGGGGACGCGGAAAAGGAGAGGGAGTAGAAATTAATTTTATCTTTTATCATCATTCATGGTATTCTAATTGTAGGTCTTATACGTTATGTTACTTTACGTTAAGTTACGTTACGTTAGATTACCTTACATTACCTTACATTACATTACAATACATTACATTACAATACATTACATTACAATACATTACATTACAATACATTACATTACAATACATTACATTACAATACATTACATTACAATACATTACATTACAATACATTACATTACATTACAATACATTACATTACAATACATTACATTACAATACATTACATTACAATACATTACATTACAATACATTACATTACAATACATTACATTACAATACATTACAATACATTACATTACAATACATTACATTACAATACATTACATTACAATACATTACATTACAATACATTACATTACAATACATTACATTACAATACATTACATTACAATACATTACATTACAATACATTACATTACATTACAATACATTACATTACATTACATTACATTACATTGCATTGCATTACATTGCATTGCATTGCATTGCATTACACTACATTACATTACATTACAAGGAATTCACAATTCAGTTTTTTCATTTCCAGTAGATGTGCGTCGTCTAGTCGATCTTTCTGCCCTTTGAGAGTATCCTCCACCGACCCTCGTTCTGCTGATATTTGCACTGAAAGATTTGACATCATCTGTAGATGTGTCTCGTCCAGACGTTATAATTGGCCTGTATGAGTACCATCCTCCGACACCTCTACACCAATAGATATTGCTATGTAACCAATGTCAAGATGGGCGTTGATATTTGGTCCAGAGTACAGACGCCTTAATTAATGACAGGTCATTAATTGTTAGTCAAGTTTTCTTTTCAAATTATTTAATTGTTCTTTACGTGTAAACACAAAACGAGTATTGGCTTTCTAGTTGTATGCAAGCGGTTTGTTTTTCCCTGTAAAAGAGTAATTGCTAGATTGTTGAATGTAGGGCAATTAATTGAATTGTGTATTTTGTTGTCAATTTTGCTTTGTTAAATAATTTTCATAATACCTATCTGTTAAACTGACGTAACTAGTAATACCAATGTGATTGATAAGATACTTTTAATGGCCTTAGCCTGTTAAATTCCATAACGTACGTTTGTAAACTTGTTTCTATCGCAACCGGAAACCACAACAACCTGATCTATTTATGTACAATGTTATTTGGAATTAAATTTTCTAAATTTAAAATCGGGTTCTTTTCGTAGGTATGAAACCTACTGAACGTGATTCGACCGATATACAAATAGCGGACTTGGTTGATTTGACAAAGTTCAACCGCGTTTATTTGACACATATCGGCCTAATATGACGTTAATTACTATTAAGTGACAGTTCAGTTTGAATTTATGGGCAATCTGATTACTTTTGTTAAAAGGTTGATGTAATTTATTTGCGATAAGAATGCATTTTAATGGGAAAAACTGCGTGCTTTTTGTAGAAACGTCGGCGGGACTGACTGTTGTGTTTCTACGCTCCCGATAATTGGATGAAGGATTTTCGAATTCGTTAAATACTAAAGTTGGTGTAAGAAGAAGGCCTTTTGCCAATTTCGAGACCGGGGTGCTTAAAGCTTAAAAGACGCGAGTTCTGTGGCACGTTTTAAGTTGTTTTTATGTCGAGCAAATCAGCCGAGTTGAAAGTTGAGAAGTATTAACAGTAGGGTTAGCGGCCTCATTGAAGTTTGCGTCTACTGTTTCGAAAAGCCATTATTTCATCGGTCGTGTGTTTGGCCAGGCAGTTTAATTCATTGCAGTAAATTAAGTTCCTGTGTTCCGACAAGGAGTTAAACTGAAGAAAAAATGTATATAGCGATATGTTTGTTGAGTGCGTTTGATTTCAGTCATAATTAGTGGTTTTTGCGCGGATTTTTGGGATTTGTGGCAGAAAACTGTAAGTAGTTTAGGATTTCATTAACTTGTTTAATTATTTATCGAACGTTTATGCGGGGTGTGTAAAATGGACTTTGTTATAGCCCTCTTTGTTTGCCGGAATTTTGTGTTTAATTTGATATGTGTTTACAATAAGTTTTGGCTGTGTGTATTCATTTAAATCGTGTGTTTATTCGAACCCTTTAACGATACAGATAAATATCTCATGCTTAATCATGATCAATTTGTTGATCCGTACCCATATTTTATTTCAGGTCAAAATTTGTTTAAGTAACTCGTTTTGGAAATTAAGGAATTTGATCGTGGCCATTATTTGCATTGATTTTAGTTATAGAGGCTCATGAAAAAATTAGTTCTCGTTAGCATTTATTACAAACTCCCGAAACCAAATTTTAATAGCATCAGAACAACAGAAATGCTCATTCAACATATGATGACAAATGAACTTAAAGTAAGTTCGTAACATGCACCCTATTAAACGAACTAGAAACTATAAATTGATCAAGCATGTTTGCACCTATAGTAAGCATAAGTAACATAAAATGACAAGGGTCGGTAAGCCAATTTTTTTAGAAATAAAAGTCAAGAGGCTGTGCGCGGTTTATAAAACAAAAACCCTCACAGGCGAGTAATAACAAATCACACTTCATCACGGAAGACGCTCTTGTTTCTAAACTGCCCATACTCCATTTTATATCTATAATCTCTTCATTGGCTTCCGCTACGAGCGATCGTGAAACTAATAGGCCAGCTTGACCCAAATCCCACTAACATGACATCTTTACTTTACGTGTTTTCATCCAAAACAGAAATTTTTCATTTTCCCTTTGTTTATCTGTACGTCAAACGCAGAATAGCAACCCACTTCATTTGGGTCATTTTTCAATCCGAGTTCTCATCCCGCGCAATATATCGAATCATTGAGCTGGGGTTGTCGTTAGAGGGCACCAAAATAACCTCGACCTAAAGTTGTTTGCATTGATGTGGAGAAAGACGTTTTTATCTATTTCAAATTACACGTGAGTAGGTTTCAATCGGAAACACCTTTATACTACATTAACTCAGTATGACAAAAAATCCTTTATGATATATTATTTCCAGTGTCAGTTGCCCTAAGGGCTGATTTTCGATTTCAACTTTCCGAGAATCTATCTGGAAATTTACATATTGCAACAGTTCGACTTTTCAGATTTTTTTTGCGAACTCGACTTTTATTCTCCACGCTTCAGATCAGGTTTTCATTTATATTGAATTGCTTTCTTGAGTTGTATGCATCTTTGTAAATAGTGGTCTTTATTTCCATACACTATTTAGCCTGTAAAACGATAAACGTCCTATAGATTTATTTCGGAGGAAATCGGTACATGTGGTATTCCTTATCTCCCGTTATTGTCAAGTAGAGGAACAATGTCGTAGTTATTCGGGATATTTATCTCGGAATTACACTGCGGCGTGATCTTGAAGACGTATGGAATCAGCTTACTCTAGCTAGGTGATATCGCCTCGGTGTTTATTTAAAATCGATACCGAAACGAAAATAAATTTTGCTTTCTCGTGCTGCTTTACCTACCTAATGGCATTATTTCATTCCCGCTTGCATGTAATACAATCCTTCAGAACGCGAACAATGACTCTCAACAAAGAAGTAAATACCAGGCGTCTAAAACTTAGCTCTATTCATATCCACATACAGTCCCGGAACAATACGCGGTAAACAAATTAAGCACTCTTATACTATGTGCATTGTCTCAAGCGAAACGGATCGCCTGAAGTTGCATAGTAAACAAGTAGGATACGAGTAATAAATAATAAATTATTGGTCAACTTCTGAGCCCATAACCTGTCAAGTGAGTTTTCTTTTAAGTTCACTGTGAATCATTTAAATGTAAAGATATTTCACAGAAAAGTTTCTGAGGTCAAGAAGCATGATCATTCTTAACAAGAGTAGGTGACGATTTCCTCCCTCAACCGTATTGGCAAAATTACAATGGTAATGACACAATACTATAAACGCTTGGTTAATGTCTGATATGTAACAAAAGTGTTACAGTGTGAAGTGTTACCGCGAGGACACACTGAACCCACTGACAATGATTATCTTCCTAGCTAAACCAAATGTAAAAAATACCCCATTAATTAATTTGATTTCACCGTTGGCCTTCAAAATCCTGTAATGCGGATGACCAGCAACACTTTGGTTCGATGAAGTATCTATAAGTCCACTACCCCTTTGACCTAATGTGTTGACGTTTAGAATAGGCCTATCACAAGAACACATCAAAGTCTTACAGAAAATAAACTAATGGAGCGCTTTAAGTTTCCTTGCAGTTAGGGCAGTTTGTGCGAATAATCCCTGGGTGACCACATCTATAACAGTTCTCCCATGTTCCAGTTTAAAGCCATGCCCTCTGGGTTACATTCCGCACCAGCCACGTTTCAGCGTCTTTTGGACTGTGTGAGTGCCAGAAATGGAGCCACTGGCGTTCGCATACCTGGACGACATCATCGTGTTCCGGACGTCCGCCGAACACCTACAAAACTTGAAAGAATGTTGCCGTCCGCCTCTGAAATATTTGGGAAACGTTATCAGCGATGGTGGTGTCCAAACCAGTCCAGAGAAGATAATCGCCATTCAGAAATTACCGACGCCGCACATCATTACAACCGTAAGAAGATTTCTTGGAGTAGCATCCTGGAACCACCATTTCGTTCCGAATGACCACACTCCTCACACAAAAAAAAACTTGAAGTTGGGGTGAAGGTAAAAATCGTGCTTTCCAAACCCTGAACCAAGTCTAACCAACGAACCGATTCTGACATGTCCATATCTTGACGTCGGGTAAAAAGACAACGCTTTACCTAGAATAAACCTGGATATTGAACGCCCAGCTCAATTTTAGCATCCAGTCCGTAACACCTATAATAATCAAAGAATCTCCCAAGTCACATATATGTTTAGTGACTAATGCCTGAAGGGCCTCGCGCTACTCTTTATCTGCTTCTGAATCGAGTACAATAATTAACTCTTCTCTTCTTAACGCGTTCAAAAATTGATCATTCATCAATGGAGTAACACTAATGCATTGCAATCAAACGATGACCTTAATAGTTACAACTACCTACAATTCGAGTATTTATTCCTTTAAGAGGCAATTAACGATACTCTGCAACAGTTTGATCGATTTTAACAAATTTGGTATGGTTGAAAAGGGCATTCCTTGGGCAATGATAATCAACAAAAATATAGTTAATTTAATTGAATCCTTCTCCGCCAGGGGGTTAGTTTTGACACTATGACCCAAAATCCTAAAAAAATAAAAAAAATGGAATGATATGACTTTTTCTTTAGGAAAAAGTAGCCAAATAACATTCAAAGAGGCCAGTGAAACCGTTTTTCAAAATCTCGCCCTAACCTCAAATATTGGGAAAATGAGATTAATTAATTAATTAATAAAAATACTTAAATTGTAGGTATCTTAAATTTACTTTGTACGTATTGCCGGTATTTGTCGATGGCGCGAAAGAAAAGCATCCTACACTTTTAGGTAGGCCTTGGAAAATTAAACAAATGAAATACGATGCATTATAAAATAATAACAGCCGTAATTTGTAGATTATTCTGCTGTATTTACATTCCGAAGGTGCAGTTTTTTGAATTTGTAATCTTTTCTAAAATGCTGATTTCTAACCAAGAAGCAATTTAATATGCTAGCGATATATTTTGTGTATTTTCAAAATGCGACCATCGCTGCCCGTATCTTCTATTTGCGTTATCCGAATCGACCACGAACCATCGCCGCCAGCATATTAAATGCTTCTTGGTTAGAAATCGGTATTTTAGAAAAGATTACAAATTCAAAAACTGCACTTTCTGAATGTAAACAGCAGAATAATTTACAAATTACAGCTGTCATTATTTTATAATGCATCGTGTTTCATTTGTTTAATTTTCCAAGGCCTACCTAAAAGTGTAGGGTGCTTTTCCAAACAATCTTTCACGCCATCGACAAATACCGGAAATACGTCAAATAAGATACAATTTAAGCATCTTAATTAATTAATCTTATTTTCCCAATATTTGCGGTTAGGAACGAGATTTTGAAAAACGGTTTTCACTGGCCACTTTGGGTGTTATTTGGCTACTTTTTCATAAAGAAAAGTCATATCATTCCATTTAATTTTTTTAGGATTTTGGATCATATTGTCAAAACTAACCCTCTGGCAGAGAAGGATTCAAACTAAATTAACTATATTTTTGTTACCCAAGGAATGCTCTTTTCAACGATACCAAATTTGTTAAAATCGGTTAAGAAGTTAAAGCAGGTTATCGCAAAAACAATTGAGCGCCCATGCCATCTTTGTTTTTTAAATAACTTAGGTTTTGTTTTTACGAAATAGATAGATAAACTGGTTCTCTTTATGCGAAATTTAAAGAAAATGCATTTTTAAAATTTAAGATGGGAGTTACGCTCTCTGGTGGTCATTTTTAGAACTTGAAAATATTTTCCAGCGGTTCTTCATAACCGATTTACCCAATAATTTTTTTACCCCTAAGTCATACGACGAACGGTTTCCGAGATATGGCCGAGGAACAATCTTATTGGGTGACCCGGTACAGTGTGGTCCAATTTCGATGCGATTAAATGGGTAACTTTCTTATTAGCGCAGATAAACGAAAACGGTTTAAGTACTCGTGTAGTCTTTTTTCATAATTCCATAACCGTTGCCAGAAATAAGCTGCCGTCCTTTGTTTGTTCCCTAGAGAGAAAAATTGAAAAATGGCCGATTCATTCAATTTGCTGTATCTCCTTTATTTTTGAAGCTAAAACAAAACGGATTTAGCATTATTCAGGCACTTTTTAACGTAAAAATCAATGCAGTCAGTCGTTTGTTTCTAGTCTTTTGAGTAACTGCGTTGTAACATTGTAATATTCAGTGTCGCATTTTTATTAGTTGACTGTTCTCGTCTAATTGCTAGGCAATAGGTTTTCATTACCTAAACAACCCAAATTTATTCGGTGAAATACAAACCCCTGGTGCACTTATAAGTGAAAATACGCACTGTTTCCCGATGAAGTGCATTCTTATCGCTACTAAATTATATCAACCTTTTGTGGAAGTAATCAGAGTGCCCATAAATTAAATCGGCTGTCACATAAACGATTTAACAAAGCAAAATTGATAACGAAAGTAAGCGACAAATTGTCGTGCATTTAACAACTCTAGGAAATAATCTTTTAAAGCGAAAAAAACAAACCACTTGGATACAAATAGAAACGCAGTATTCGCTTTGTGTTTACACCTAACACTCAACCAGACTAATTAAATAAATTGAAACGAAAATTTGACTAACCAACCAAAGCCCAAAGTCCACACCGACACTGTTTACATAGCAGGGTATATATTTGCAATAACTGGCAGGCTTCAAAGCGATGGATTAAAAACTTTGTGATGGTTAAAGTCCCTGAAATTGAACTACCAATATAAAAATATACGATACCATCAAAATTTGATGAGGTTGCCATTTTTGATTAATTCAACTAATGAGACTCAATCTTCACGCTCACTAAATTTTGTGGTTTTTTTTGGTACAAATTGTGCAAAATTGCCTGCAACACGGACAGCTAGTGCCACAACTAAATTGCTGTACAGTGTACGGCAACATAAAATATGCATATGGTTGATATAAAAGAAAATGGAGAAATTTGTGAGTCAATGTTTAGGAAAAATCTAGCATGTCGCGTGCCATATCACACAAAAAAGACCTACACGAACTTGTTCGATATTTCGTTTTGAAGATTCACATTCGCGCGATACGATCTCCCCTTGTAACATAGCTAGACATCGCGCATCCTAACAGCACACGGCATGCTAGATTCCATAAATTTTCTAAATATTGAATAACGACTTTCACTATTTTTTATATCAAACATGCATATTTTATGTTGTCGTACGGAAAACTGATTGCTCTATTCAAAGATCATAAAAAACCTAGACATTGTATTGGATAAATAAAGGTAGCACCGATTTCCGGTTTAACCGGAAGTGCTGCCGGAAATTTCAGTATGCGATCGGATAGATCGTAATGTCACATGTAAAGTTATACAATTTTTATGATATTTAGTCTCTATAACGTTTGTAGAACAGACTGTATACATGAAACTAATATCGCGACCCGTTGCATTTTATTCTTCAATGTAAAAGTTGGAAACTTCTCTTTCGAGTGCCTCTGTGTACAAATCGGGCGAGAGTATTTCAGAGCTTAGAGAAAACCAAACAGTTAAATTCGAACGTTGTAGGATCGTCGAGGAAATGATTTCTCTTCCTTTACTGTAACAGGTGAACATACTTGATCTTAATTCGCCTCGCAGTTTGAACTCTGCGAATTACACTTTGCTTAAAAAGTTTATTGAGTGCAATTTACTTGTTACCGATGCAACTTTCAAGATTGAGACGTTCTTCTGGTTTAAAGAGTTTTCTAAGTTGACTTCAATTTACAGCACGAATTACCTCCCCAATTAAAAATTAATTAAAGTTATTTCTACAATTTTTCAATTTTACAAGTTTTTGATACGTTTTTTCTCTTTTGGTCGTTACTCCTTTTTCAGAAACTTTATAATGAGTTTTTTTTAATCACTTTTGTATAATATGCACATTAATTGGAATATGGTACTAACGAAGCGAATTTCTTATTTTTTACCTGTTACCGTTGATTATAGCAGCTTAATTAAAATGTATGTCAAAGCTCCAATTTGATTCATACTTTTCTGATTTTAAATTTTAATGAAATCTATAATTGATTTATTCAAATGCAACGAAAAAGATAATGTGTTGGCAAAGTTTCCTCGTCGTCCAGACAAGCTAGCCAAAACCGCTTCTCACCAAATATTATCCGAAGGTTTCTAAACTTATATGTCGATTAATAAACTTTTTCCTCCCATTCAAGTCGGCATTGATTTGCCTTTTTTGGCGTATCCGAAATCGTTCGTTCGTAATCGTCGAGCGTTTTTCCTTTGTGGAATCGATTACAAGTTAGCCACTTTTTATCTTCCAAATCAAATATTTTATATTTACTTACTATTTACGCATATTTGAAAAGTAAACGTCAGTCTTTAAACAGGGGGGACTCCACTTAATTGAAATGAGACCTAACAGCAAGGGATGTTGTGTTCGTTTGAGCATCAAACGCAATTAATGTTGTGGCTGCTACATTGTTGCAATTATAATATATAAGCGGTAACCAACTAATGACAGGTCAATTAATCTATGAATACGTAATATGGTTTGATGGGTAGAAGTTCGTCTTACATGGCGAACGGACGTGTTTTGAGCGAGCTCCGGCCTTTTTTAGTGGTTTTTTGTGTTTGTATAGGTTTAAAAATGTATGTCGGTAGCGTACAAAATTTGCAATTGTTTAGTGCTTATTTCATCGAAATCGGTCCAGTGGCTGAGATTTTACGAATTTTTACAGTTTTAAGTTTAATCTCAAGATTCATAACGCGCGAGACTAATTAAATCGTGAGAAGACAGGGCAGGAACCTCCAATCAACAGGACAAAAAAGAACCAAAGAACGTAAAGCTAAGATAAGTGCTTACTTGCTTACTTACTCACTTACTTAGAATTAAGGCTAAATTTAATTTAAAAGTGAACAAAGGGGAAAAGATA